TTGCTTCTTCCTTTCCAATTTGGATACCATTTTTTTTCTTGCCTCATTGCCTTAGCTAGGAATTCTAGTATTATGTTGAGTAAAAGTGATGAGAGTAGGCATCTTGCCTTGTACCTAATCTTAGAGTTGAAAAACTCTTAGTTTCTCACCATTGAGTATAATGTTAGCTGTGAGGTTTTCATATATGGCCTTTATTACATTGAGTTAATTTTCTTCTAGTTTAGTGTGTTGAGAGTTTTAAATTATGAAAGAGTGTTGAATTTTGTCACATGCTTTTTCTGCATCTGTTGAGTTTGATCATGTGATTTTTTTTTTTTTTAAGAGAGAGGGAGAGGTAGGAAGAGAGAGACATCGATGTGAGAGTGCAACATCGATTTGTTGCCTCCTATCCAGGATCAAACACACAATATAGGCATGTGCCCTAACAGGGAACCAAACCAGCAACCCTTCAGTGCATGGGATGACACCCAACCAACTGAGCCACACTGTCCAGGGCTGATTATGTGATTTTTATCTTTCAATTTATTGATGTGGTATATCACCTTCATTAATTTCTTTTTCTGTTGAACCATCCTTTCATCCCAGGGATGAATCCCACTTGGTCATGGTATGCGATCCTATTAATGTACTATTGAATTCTGTTTGCTAGTATTTGGGGTTGTTTTTTTTTAAATCCTCACCTGAGGACATTTTTTCCATTTTTTGTTCAGATAGAGTGGGAGGGAGAGAGAGAGAGAGAGAAACATCGACGTGAAAGGGACACGTCGAGTGGTTGCCACCCACATGACCCAACCAGGGCTGGGGACAAATTGCAGCCAAGGTGCATGCCCTTAGCGGGAACCGAACCCCGGTCTCTCAGGACCGCAGGCCAACGCTCTAACCGCTGAGCCAAACCGGCCAGGGCTGGGGGGGAATTTTTGCATCTATGTCCATAGTGATATTGTTCTGTAGTTGTTGTTTTGTTGTTTTTTAATTTTCTCTATTAATTCTTAGAGAAAGGGAGAGGGAGAGAGAGATTGAAACATCAATGAGAGAGAACATCGATCTGCCCCTGCACTGGGGATTGGGCCCACAACCTAGGCACGTGCCCTGACCTGGAATCAAATGGTGACCTCTTGGTGCATGGGTCTACGCTCAACTGCTGAACTACACCAATTGGGCTGTTCTGTAGTTTTCTTGTAGTGTTTTAGTCTGGTGTTGGTTAGGGTTAATGTAAGCATTTATAGTTTTCAACATCCCTCTTAGTACTGTTTTTGGTATATCCCATAATTTTGGTATATTGTATTTTCATTTTTACTTGTCTTTAAATTTTCTTTTTTATTTCTTCTTTGACTCATTGGTTGTTGAAAAGTATACTGTTTAATTTCCACATATTTGTGAATTTTCCCGTTTTCTTTCTGTTGCTGATTTCTGATTTCATTCCATTGTGGTCAGAAGAGACACTTGGTACAATTTCTGTCTTCTTAAGTTTGAGAATTGTTTTGTGACCTAACATGTGATCTATCCTGGAGAATGATCTAAATACATTGAAAAGAATGTTCTTATATGTCTGTTAGGTCCATTAGGTCTGTGATGTTGAACGTTCAAGTTCTTTGTTTCCTTCATGACTCTCTGCCTGAGTGTGCTCTTAGTTGAAAGTGGGGTATTGAAGTCTCCTGGTATTATTGTATTGCTCTTTTTTTCTTCCTTCGCTTTTGTCCATTTTTGCTTTATATATTTAGGTGCTCTCATGTTGAGTACATATGTATTTGTGATTGTTATGTCTTCATGGTGGACTGACCCCTTTATCATTAGATAATGCCATGTTTTGTCTTTTAGGACTGTTTTTGACTTAAAGTTGTTTTTTGTCTGATAGAGTTTGGCCCTCCCCCACTCTCTTTTTGTTACTACATTATTTGAATGGAATATCTTTTTGTATCTCTCTACTTCCAACCATTGTCTTTTGGGGTGTTGAATCTATTTACATTTAAAATATTTGTTGATAGGGTGGTGTTTACTATTGCCATCTGTTGTTTTCTGAGTATCTTTTAGGTCTTTTGTCCCTTTTCCTCTCCCTGTCTTCGTGTGTGCATGTGTGTGTGCGTGTGTGTAACATGTTTTCAATCCTCTCGTTTTCTTTTGCATATCTTCTATATGCATTTTCATTGTGGTTATCATGGGGCTTACATAAAAGATCTTACAATAATGACAGTCTGTTTTAAACTGATAACAACTTAACTTTAATCACATACAAAAACTCTATGCTTTTACTTCTCCCTGGCCCTCCTTCTCACTTCAGCACTTTTGACTCAAATGTCATTTTAATGTTTTGTACATAAGTTTCTTTTCTATAAAAATAGGAATAAGGTATTCTGCTAACCCACAGGTTCTCATAGTGTTGTTTGTATACCCATAGAGGGTCCTTGAGACTTTTTCAAGGGGTCCATATGATCAAAACAGTTTCCACAAGAATTCTAGGATACTATTTGTCTTTTTCCTCTGTTCACATTTTTAATGGTGGTGGAAAGGCACCTGTGGGAAAACCTGCTGGTCCGAACCAACTTCTACATTGTGTGCTGCCACACACTCTCAGGAAAACAAAGTGCCACTTTCACTCATATGTGTCTTTGGAGAAGGAGATGCTTTTATTAAATCTAAACACTTAAGTACATGTCTTTTTATTGTGTGTGATGGTGTGGAAAATACTCAGAAGGACTTCTGCATACAGATGCACACTATTTATTTATGCTAAGGAAAAGTATATGTGTACGTAGTTGATTATTTTTGTGAGTTCAAGTAGCAGCTTTTTAAACGGAATACGATTTTTACTTGTAAGAATGGCTGTTGGCAATCTGGTTATTCAGACTTGGATATTTGGCAGACATTTTCTTGAGAATGAATGAAGTAAACTTGTTATTTCAAAGAGAACAGCTGACAGTATTTGTTGTCCAGTGGTACAATTTAAGCTCTTTAAGTGAACATTACAATTTTGGGAAACTTGTGTTCACCACTATGTGCTTTGACAGCTTTGCAGAGTGTTCCAATGAGATCATTGGTGATGCTAATGTTGTGATTTCTTTTTCTACCCTGTGTAATGCAGTATATCAACATTTGGAAGACCTGACCAGGCCATAAACCAATATTTTCAAAAATATTTGGAAATATATGATGTTATAAAATTATGAGTAAAATATCCATTAAATATGGGAGATAGACCAGTGGATTTTAATGTAACAGAATACAAGTTCATTGATATGGCTTCAAATTCTACATTCTAACTAACCTTTAAGAAAGTACCACTTGTCAAGTTTGGGTGTAGAATTGAAGAGGAATGTATTCACAATGATCTCAAAAAACTATTCAAGCACTCCTTTTCCAACTACACATCTCTGAGGTCTGATTTTCTTAATATATATAAAAGAAATCTGATTCTTTATTCTCAGTACTTCTGATACCAAATATATACTCTTTAATTCTCTGTGGATAGTCAGTAACTGGAAATCCTACAGTTTTACTGGTTCTGACATTACCTGGAGTCGGTGCAAACCCACAGGTGGAGGGCGCAATCTCCCGGCTCCTCCCCACCACTTCAGAGGCCAGTTACAGCCCCAAGTTGTCCCCTGTGCTCCTGGCCAGCCAGCTGTAAATCAGGGTTTTCACAGCACCTTCCTTTTTGTTCAGTGATTTGCATTAATGGCTCACAGAACTTAAGGAAACATTTTATACAATATACAAATGAACAGCCAGATGAAAACATGCATAGGGCAAGGTCCAGAAAGGTCTCAAGTGCAGGAGCTATTGTCTCTGGAGTTCTAGTGTGCTACCCTTTTGGCACATGGATGCATTTACCAACCTGGAAACTGAACATTGAGGGTTTTTGTGGTTCCAGTATATGAGCATGATTGATTAAATTATTGACCACTGGTTTTAATTATATGATACCCAGACTTTTTTATTTTTAATCCTCACCTGAGGATATTTTTTCTATTGATTTTTTGTTTGTTTGTTTGTTTGTTTGTTTGTTTTAGAGTGGGAGGAAGGGAAGGAGAGAGAGAGAGAGAAACATTGATGTGAGAGAGACACAACAATTGGTTACCTCCCACATGACCCCAACTGCAGTGGGGATTGAACCTGCAGCCAAGGTTTGTGCCCTTGACCAGGAACCGAACCCATGACTCTGGTCCAAGGGCTGACGCTCTAACCACTGAGCAAAACCAGCCAGGACGACCTCTAGACTTTCTGCTTTCCCCAGAGGTCTGGCAACCAGCCCCCATTCTACCAGTATGTCATTACTATAAACTTTCCTATGAGTGAGAGGGGCCATTATGAATAACAGAGCTCATATCGCCCCTACCACTCAGGAAATTCCAAAGATTTTAGAGGCTCTGTACCAGGCAACAGTATGAAATATATGTATATGTTTTTTCCATTTATCTTCAGATAGAGTGGAAGGGAGGGAAGGAGAGAGAGAGAAAGACCCCGCACGACACCCACCAGGGCCGGGGACAAACTGCCACCGAGATATGTGCCCTTGACCAGATCAAACCTGCAACTCATTGGTCCGCGAGCGGACACTCTAACCACTGAGCCAAACCAGCCTGGGCGTGTAAAATATTTTAAATATAGATTTATAAATAATCTTTGAGCTCCTACTAATATTGCTGTGCAAGCCCTTCCTCAGACTTTGAGGAAGAGACCTGGAAAGAGAACATACATCTATTATTGCTGTTAAGGAGCTTGTTAACTTAGATGAGGAATAAGGGGGGAATTCACATGTAATTCCTCTGTTCTACAAACCAAACAATGGAAAAGCAACATTATAATAAGGCTTGTTTTGTCCTAAATATATTTATATATATATTTGTATTTGTGATATAAATCAGGTGTGTGCGTGTACATGAGTGTACATGCACACGTGCTTAGGCTTACAGCAGACTTAACGGCTGCTATTAGTGAATGTAGTCCATTAGTAGTTTAAGTTGTGTTTTGGTTTTTGAAGTTTTCCCTTTCTTCCCTTGCAGGTATAGAACAAGATGCAGTGAATACTTTCACCAAATATATATCTCCAGATGCTGCTAAACCAATACCAATTACAGAAGCAATGAGAAATGATATCATAGGTAAGCAGTGCTTGAAGCTATGGCCAAAAATATACCTGTTTTTGGTTGTTGATTAAGGGAATGTTGTATGCGCATGGAATATTTTTAAAATTTATTTCTTTTTTATTTATTAATTTTTGTTACAGATGTTTCTTATTTTTCCCCCATTGACACCCTCCTCCCCTTCCCCCCCATCCCATCCTCAGCTTTGTTGTCTATGTTCATTGGTCATGCATATATGCATGTAAGTTCTGTGGTTTATCTCCCCCCCACACCCCAACCCTCCCTCCCTCTGAGGCTTGTCAGTCTGTACTCCACCTCTATGTCTCTGGGTTAATTTTTTTCAGCAGTTTGTTTAGTTCATTATATTCCACAAATAAGTGAGATCATGTAATATTTGTCTTTCTCTGCTTGGCTTGTTTCACTTAGCATAATACTCTCCAGGTCCTTCCATGCCATCTCAAAGGATAAGAGATCTTTCTTCCTTACAGCTGCGTAGTATTCCATTTGTACATGTACCACAGCTTTTTTATCCATTCGTCTACTGATGGACACTTGGGCTGTTTCCAGATCTTAGCCATTGTAAATAGTGCTGCTGTGAACATGGGGGTACATATATTCTTTCTGATTGGTGTTTCAGGTTTCTTAGGCTATATTCCTAAAAGTGGGATCACTGGGTCAAATGGAAGTTCAATTTTTAACTTTTTGAGGTAACACCATAGTGTTTTCCACAATGGCTGCACCAGTCTGCATTCCCACCAGCAGTGTACTAGAGTCCCCTTTTCTCCACACCCTCACCAACACTTGTTGTTTGATGATTTGTTGATGGCGGCCATTCTGACAGGTGTGAGGTGATACATCATTGTTGTTTTAATTTGCATCTCTCTGATGATCAGTGATGTTGAGCATTTCTTCATATGTCTCTTGGCCATTCATATGTCCTTTTTGGAGAGGTGTCTATTTAGGTCCTCTGCCCATTTTTTACTTGGATTTTTTGTCTTCCTTTTGTTGAGTTGTATCAGCACTCTATATTTTGGAGATTAACCCCTTATCTGATATATCATTGGCAATTATGGTTGCCTTTCCATTTTGATGGTTGTTTCTTTTGCTGTGCAGAAATTTTTAAGTTTGATGTAGTCCCATGTGTTCATTTTTTCTTTGTTTCTGTTGCCTTAGGTGATGTGTCACTAAAAATTCTGCTGCATATGATGTCTGAGATTTTGTTGACTACATTTTTTTCTAGAATTGTTATGGATTCACGAGTTATATTTAAGTCTTATCCATTTTGAGTTCATTCTCGTGTATGGTGTAAGTTGTTGTTCTGGCTTCATTTTTTTGCAGGTAGCTGTCCAATTTTCCCAATACCATTTATTGAAGAGACTGTCAATGAGCATGGAATTTAATATATCCTTTCCTAGTCTACTTTCAGTTATCTGATTGTAGCTCACTTACAAACTTTCTGTCTAATATATTAGACCAAATTCTTAGACTTGATAACAACAAAAAAGAATAAAATCACACATTTATTGAGTACTTACTGTGTCCCAGACAATATTCTAAGTACTTGCCATGGATAAACTCATTTAATCTTCTAAAGAACCTTGCAGCATATAGTTATTATTTGATAGATGAGGAAACTGAAGCACAGAGGGTAAAGTAGTTTCCCCAATGTAATAGAGCTCAAACATGGCAGAGTCAGGGTTTGAAACCAGACCCCTACACATTAAGTAGTATGCTATTTGGCAATGTTTTTCAAACTGTGAATTGAGGTCAATCTCTGTGTTCTCATCCCACTGCCAAAGGAATATTAGAATAGAAAAATCAAAGTCCTTCATAGTAGTAAGGCCAAAGAAACATGATTTCAGGAAATTGTTTCCATTATATATGCATATATGTATGTGTATACTGAGTCACATAAATATGTTTCCCTGCAAATCATAGTAAAAAAAAATGTTTGAAAGTTTTTACCATGTTGTATCAGCAAGACCTTAGGTGTACCTGTAATCACAGATAAACGTGGTTCATTTTCTCATTGAATAGATATATTCCCATCAAGTCCTAGTGGTAAGTTTAATATGTTTGTTACAAAAAATAGTATTTTTGTTTTATGAAATACAGCATGTTGTTCTACTACTAACAAATTCTTCCCAATGCGAGGCTCTTTCAGTCCTTACTGCTGGTCCTTTGTGCTCACTCATTATTGGAGACAGCAAAACCTCCTGCAGTCTCAGCTGTGGTTCCTAATTGACCCACCATAGTTTCCAGTGAACAACTGTTGGCTCTTTTGGGGTCCATCAGATGCTGCCCCCATTGTTTTTCTTTTCTTTTTCCCACACAGACACTTAGAACACATAGGTCTTAATGATTCTTGGTGGTTTGTTCATATCTGCTTGTATTTTGAGATTTTTCACCTAGTTTTGTTGTAAATGTCATGAGATTTTGGTTTTTCTATGTAGTTACTTTGTCTGTTTTTAAGTGGGAATTTGTTGCTACCTTCTTCCAGTCTTCCCTAGATTTACTTGTTTTTTTTCTTTTTTCATCCTCACCCAAGGATATTTTTCTGTTTATCTTCAGGTAGAGAGAGAGAGAAACATCGATGTAAGGGAGACACATCGACTGGTTGCTTCCCGCACCACGCAGCCCAGGGCCGGGGACGAACTGCAACCGAGGTACATGCCCTTGGCTGGAATTGAACCCGGGACTCATTAATCCGAGGACCGATGTTCTACCTTCCGCTGAGCCAAACTGGCCAAGCAGGTTTTTCTCTTTTTATTTATACTTTTTAATTTTTTTTTTTTTTGTAGGGAGAGAAATACAAATATCGATGAGAGAGAAATATTCATCAGCTGCCTCCTGCACCCCACAATGAGAATTGAGCTCACAGCCTGGGCATGTGCCCTGACCAGGAATCAAACTGGGACCTCTCGGTTCATGGGATAACTCTCAATCCACTGAGCTATACCGGCTGGACTAGACTGACTTTTTCTAATAATGCAACTGGGGTGTCTTAACTGACTCAATTTGGCTGTTTAAGGAACTGGTTGGCTAGTGATTCCTTAGGAGGTTTGTTTGTACTAATTCATAACCAAGCTGGGGTAGGAGAGAAAAGGAGGGAATTTTGAACCATATAAAACATTTGAAAATGAATGTTATTGCAATTCTAATTTTTCTTTTCTTAAACTTGATCTCATTAATTATGTAATCCCATGAGGGGAAAAATCTTCTGAAGGATCAAGTTGATGATATTTAGAGATCAAGGCAAAGTTTCCATCCAGCGTCTGTTATGCATTTTAAAATGTTAATTACCTACATATCTTTACAACAATCACTTTTCCTTTTTGAAATTCATTCTTCTGAATCCTGGCCTAATTATTTTTCTCCTATTTCAGTTGGACTATTTTACTATAGCTGTACTTTAAGTAATTTATCATTTGACGAAGTTTCCACATTAGCTATTATTATTTTGTGTCCCACCTGCCTACTTTTTTGTAAATGTTATCAGTGGGTTTTTGGTGTTGCTCTATAATTGCTCTGTTTTTATGTGGGGGTTTAGAATAACCCAGAAACTATGCTACCACAGCCTCCTCCATTTTCCACAAATCCTTGAAGTTGTGGAATTCTAAAAATACTTAGAATGTATGGCTGACAGATTTTGCTATTGATTAGGAAGCGAGGGGTGTGAGAGGAAAAAGGAATCAAGCATGACTGAAGACCTGGGAGAGTGGGGTTGCCATTCACAAGACGAGGAAGAGTGGAATCGCTTGTGAGTGAATCAGGAGTTTGTGTTTTAGACATCCAAATGGTGGGTGCCAAGCAGGCAGTTGGATTTTTACATTAGGAGTTCAGGAGAGCGTTCCAGGTTGGAGATATATGTTTGAAAGTCATCAGCATATAAATGGGCTTAGAGTAATGAAACCAGATTACCATCAATGTGACTGTAGAGAGTAAAGACAAGAGGTCTAAGGACTGAATTCTGGGGCAGGCCTAACATCTAGAGTCTGTCAGATGAGGAAGAACTAGCAAAGGAGACTTAGAAGTAACAGCCAGTAGTAATGTAGACCCTTCTACATCAACTATGTATCAAAAGAGTTTTTTTTTTCTGGAAGCCAGGTTTAAAATGTTTCTGGGAGGAAGGGAGTGATCAAAGGTGTTAAATTATGCTGATAGGTTAAATAAGATGAATGGTAGGAATGGAATGGATTTGGCAGCCCTATGGACAACTGGGTCACTGGTCATCTTGATTAGAGTAGACCTTTAGGGACAAAAAAAAATTGGGGGGGGTACCAAATTACTTTATTTGAAGGAATGGTACAAATGAAAAGATGTAAGTGGATGATTTGGTACAAGTTATAGAAAAGGTAAAGGTAACTCCAACATGCATGTACTGCTTTGGTGACCAGGGAAGTCACCCCCATGGCTATGGGAAGCCAGCCTAAGGCTTAGCTCTCGTCACTGTCTCCCAGGGTGTGCTTGTCAAAGAGATACTCTGCCAGGCCAGTTTCAGGGGCCCCCAATCTGTGCAAGTTGGTTACGTGGTCACCCAGTTCTTTGATGGATTTCACCTGCTCATTCAGGTAGTGAGTTTCAAGGAAGTCACACAAGTGAGGGTCATTTCTGTTAGTGGCCAGTTTGTGCAAGTCTAGTAGTGACTGATTCACATTTTTTTTCCAAGTGTAATGCATACTCCATCACATTCAGTCCATTCTCCCAGTCATCAGGTCTGGTTTCTTGATATCCTGGAGGAAGATTCGGCCACCTCGTTGGTTCTGCAGCTTCATCAGTTTCTCAGCATGTTCCCTATCTTCATGATATTGGTGAAGAAAATATTTGGCAAAGTTCTTCAAAGCCACATCATCATGGTCAAAGTAGTGAGACATGGACAGGTAGACATAGGAAGCGTAGAGCTCCAGGTTGATCTGGAGGTTGATGGCGGCCTCTGAGTCCTGATGGTAGTTCTGGCGCAACTGCCAGGTGGACACGGTGGACGTCATGGTGGGCAGCTAAGGAGAGGCGGCTGCGCGGCGCTGGAGTGGGGGCCTTGGGGATGTCCGAGGCGCTGTGAGGAGGTGGCCGAAGGCTGGATCAGGTGGCTGAGGGGGATGGGTCGAGTGCCGGGTTCTGTCCAAGCACTGTTGAAGCAGGAAACCACGGGGACTCTCCGTGAAGACTGTCAGGGACAAAAAAATTTAATTGCAGGAAGCTGAGAGAGAATAGGAGGAAGAATAAAGACAGCAACTATGGGCAACTCTTATGAGACATTTTGCTCTAAAGATGAACTGTAAAGGGGATGTTAAGTCAAGGGACAGTTTTGTTTTGTTTTGTTTTGTTTTGTTTTGTTTTGTTTTGTTTATCCTCACCTGAGGACATTTCCTTATTTATCTTCAGACAGAGTGGGAGGGAGAGAAATAGAGAAACATCAATGTGAGAGGGACACACCACCTGGTTGCCACCCACACAACACCAACCAGGGCCAAGGACAAACTGCAACCAAGGTACAAGCTCTTAGTGGGAACCGAACCTGTGGGCTGATGCTCTAACCGCTGAGCCAAACCGTCCAGAGCTGTTTGTTTAAGTGACATGTTATAAACTTAAAAGGTGTATGATCACGTACAAACAAGTGTACAGTGTATATAGCTGCTGAGAATAAGGCAGTAGCAAAGAAAAATTTGATGCAGGAGAGGAGGGACAGTTGCTATAGGAAAGAAGTATTGAGAAGGCAAAAGAGGATGCAGTCCAGTGCTCGAGTAGAGTGTTGCTCAGAGAGGAGTGAGAACAGTTTATCTGTAGTAACAGGAGAGATGAATAAGATGCGGGTGGGTTGATTGATGTGGTGGTAAGTGGTAGAAATAATTTTCTGATTGCTTCTATTTTCTTAGTGAAGTAGGAATCAAAATTATTAGCAAAGAGAATAAGAGAAGAGGTATTAAGATATTCAAGGAGAGAGGATAAGATGTGTCATGTATTATCTAGGAGAATATGAGTAAATCGACCAGGAAACTGTAGTATGATCCTTGGGTTTCTTTAAGGTCCCGCTGAGGTCATGAAGTTAAAGTGAAACCAGCCATCATGGTTTTTTCTAGCCATGTTTAATAGCTAAACAGCTTATTGATGTGCTATAGTTTATTTAGGCAATTCCTAATGTTAACATATTTTATGTTTTTAATTTTCTATTGAATAACATTTTGATAAACTTTTTTCTTTTTTATTGAATTTATTGGGGTAACATTGTTTAGTAAAATTATATAGGTTTCAGGTGTACAATTCTATAATACATCTATGTATTGTATTGTGTGCATCACTCCAAGTCAAGTCTCCTTCATCGCCATTTATCCACCCTGTGCCCCCTTCTTCCACCCCCACCCCCTTCCCTCTGGGAGTCACCATACTGTTGTCTGTGTCTATGAGGAGTCTTTTTATTTTATTCATTCCTTCTCCTTTTTCACCTAGACCATAACCCTCCTCCTCCCTGATAGCTGTCAGTCTGTTCTCTGTGAGTCTGTTTCTGTTTTGTTAGTTTATTTTGTTCATTAGATTCCACATATGAGTGAAATCATATGGTACTGGTCTTTCTCTGACTGGCTTATTTCGCTTAGCATAATACCTTCTAGATCCATTCATGCTGTTGTAAAAGGTAAGATTTCCTTTTTACGGCTGAGTATTCCACTGTGTAGAGGTACCACAGCTGTTTTATCCACTCATTCACTAATAGATATTTGGGCTGCTTCTATATCTTGGCTATCATAAGTAATACTGCAGTGAACATAGGAGTGTGTACAGTTTTTTTTTTAATCCTCACCTGAAGATATTTTTCCATTGATTTTCAGATAGAGTGGGAGGGAGGGAGGGAGGAAGGAGAGAGAGAAACATTGATGTGAGAGAGACATATCGATTGGTTGCCTCCCACACGTGCCCCCACAAGGGCCAGAATCGAACCTGCAACTCTTTGGTCTGCGGCCCAACACTGCAACCGCTGAGCCAAACCAGCCAGGGTGAGGAGTGCATATAGTCTTTTGAATTGGTGTTTTGTGTTTCTTTGGATATATACCCAGAAGTGGAGTTGCTGTGAGATAGTTCAATTTTTAATTTTTTGAGGTAACTCCATACTGTGTTCACAGTGGCTACACCAGTCTGCATTCCCACCAACAGTGCATAAGGGTTTTCTTTTCTCCATAACCTCACCAACACTTGTTGTTTGTTGATTTATTGATGATAGCCATTCTGACCAATGGGAAGTAATACCTCATTGCAGTTTTAATTTGCATTTCTCTGATGATTAGTGATGTTGAACATTTTTTCATATGTCTATTCGCCATCTGTGTATCCTCTTTGGAGAAGTGTCTGTTCAGGTCCTTTGCTTTTTTTTTTACCCTCACCCAAGGACATTTTTTCATTTTTTGTTCAGATAGAATGGAAGGGAGAGAGAGGAAGAGAGAGAGAGAGAAACATCGACGTGAAAGGGACACATCAAGTGGCTGCCACCCACACGACCCAACCAGGGTCGGGGACAAACAGCAACCAAGATACGCGCCCTTAGCAGGAACCGGACCCTTGTCTCTCTGGACCGCAGTCCGATGCTCTAACTGCTGAGCCAAACTGGCCAGGGCCCTTTGCTTATTTTTTAATTGAATTGTTTGGTTTACTTTGTGTTGAATTTTATAACTTCTTTATAAATTTTGTACATTAACCCCTTTTCAGAGGTATCATTGGCAAATATGCTCTTCCATTGAGTGGGTTGTCTTTTCATTTTATTGATGGTTTCCTTTCCTGTGCAAAAACTTTTTAGTTTGATGTAGTCCCATTTGCTTATTGATAAATCTTTTCACAAAGCCATAATTCTTTAGGTTACAGTCCTAAAAATGAAATTGCTGATTGGAAGGATATGTTCATTGTTATAGCTTTTGCAAGAAACTGCCAAATGGCTATCCAGAAACATATACCACTTTATATTCCCACCAACAGTAGTGTCAGTTTTCTCATGGCTTTGCTAAAACGTTTGTATTGTTAAGCAATTAAACATATGGATTGTTAAAATACTTTTGTGCCTGTTTACTAGACAAAAGGTGGCGTGCCTTCTTATTTTAATCTATAATTATATTTATTTGATTACTAGTGAGCATTCATGTCTTTACATATTGGCCATTTTATATTTGTTCTTTTCTTAATTGTCTTTTAATGTTCTTTGCTCTTTTTTCTTTTGGGACATTTCTTATTTTGTATAAACTCTTGATGTATGAATCATAATCTGTCATACATAGAGGAAACTGTCGTACATGCGGCAAGTTTTTTTCCCTAGTTTGCCTTTTTGTTTTGTTTTTGGGGTGTTTTAATGTATAGAATTAATTTTATGTTAAATCTTTGGGTTCTGTTTTTGCATATGTATATGTTTAGAAAGATTTTCTGTACCTCAAGATCAGCTATTCACCTGTGTTTTCTTGTAGTTCCATTTAAAACCTAATTTATATGCCTTTACAGTCATTTCCTACTTTGATTCACAAATGTGTACATTTGGATTTAATTGAAATTTAATTATTTACTATTTCTTTTACAGCAAAGATTTGTGGAGAAGATGGACAGGTGGATCCCAACTGTTTTGTTTCGGCACAGTCCATAGTCTTTAGTGCAATGGAGCAAGAGTAAGTTGATTTCATACTTTCACATTTTGCCTTCTTGAGAATTTGGGTTTAGTGTTGGAATGGGCTTCACACAACTAAAAACAAACTATCTCTGAGGGTTTAAGTATTTTGAATGTTTATAGGATCTTACAGATACACTCTAAGTCTATCTTGGTTAATGATTTTTTTTTAATGTAAATTATGAACTCTATTAAAGATTTAAAGTTTGCATTTTTAATGTTAGTATTTTCTTAGTTAACAGAATTTGTTTTTGATTCTGAAATCATTTGGAGGTGATTGTGATTATTAGAATTAGTGTATTAAACAATATGTGTCTTCAGATGAATAATTTGTTAGTGCATGCTTTAAGCTTAATGTATGCCGTAGTACTAAATCCACATAGATTTGTTGAAACTGCCTCCAAAAGTGTTTTTATTTATTAATTACTGCTGCATGACCTTAAAAATAATCTACGTATTCTTTCTTTCATTTAACATTTGTGAAAATGGTACTCTGTGCAAGTCATAGCTAGATACAGTACCTGCCAGAAAGGAGGTTACAACCTAATAAGAGAAATAGGGCATGTTCTTTTGTTACTGTAATATGAGGTAGCATGTATTAAATATCAGAGAGCTACAAAGTCATTATGAAGCGGGAAAGATTACTTAAGGTAGACCAATCAGGAACAAAACCATGGGAGGGAAGGTTGTGTTGACCTAGGGTTTTAAGATACAATAGGCACAGTATGGAAAGAGTATATTTTTTTCAGTTAAGCTCTTTCCTTTGGTCATTCCCTCAAATTGTCCCCTTTTGTCCATGTGCAGGCACTTTAGTGAGTTTCTGCGAAGTCACCATTTCTGTAAATACCAGATTGAAGTGCTGACCAGTGGAACTGTTTACCTGGCTGACATTCTCTTCTGTGAGTCAGCCCTCTTTTATTTCTCTGAGGTAAAGTCTGCATTTCCTTTCATACTCTGTTAGAGCATTTCAGCCTCTAAACTAAATGCTGGGGCCCTGTCTATAGAAAACCACAAAGAAGAGATGAATCATTTCCCAAAAGATCAGTTGGATTTAAAGAATTTTATTATTGTTTTAAATTGTATGTAATGGCAAGAGAACTTTAATGACACATTAGTCAGATTAAAGAGAGAACATAAAAATTCAATGTAAAGTAACTCTTAATTTGGAAAAACCTAATTAAGAGCATGCACATCTTTAATTATCTGTAGCTATTTTAAACCACAGGGTTTGATACTTGATCCTGTGTACAAATATTTGCAGACCAGACTTCAGAAGAGAGAAAGAAAAGTAATAAATTTTTTCCTAGTATCATCACCTTTGCTTTCGCCACTTGATAGGATTGCCCAATAAAGCATTTGCAGAAAGCAGTGAGTATATTAATGTCTTTGAGGCATACATTATAATATAATTGTATTTGAAGGTTTCAGCAAATGAAATTCTTTTGTTGCAAAGCAAATGACTATTAAATAGAGATAAGAGTATTCCCAGTCTTACAAAGCAGTAACTTTAAATACACACTAGCAAGAATGTGAAGAAGTAGAACTTCCACTCCCTTTCTTGCCACAAGTTTAAGGGAGCAATCGTTCAGGTTATTATGGCTGCATGGAATGATGGAAATGATCAAGTATAAACTATTTGGTCTGGTTACTTGACTCTGTGTGTGTTTGCCAGTGAGGAACAGCTAATCCACCTTTACTGTCACTTTTCCTCCAGTTCACTAAAGTTTCCATTCAGCTATGAAGTGGTTGTATCTTTGTTAGCTATTTTTGTTGTTGTTTCCCCCTAAAAGAATGTTTTCAAACTTTTCGATCTCTAATGACTGTTGTTGACTGGCATTAACTAAACAAATGGACCTGTTAGGTTACTTTGTTTGTTTTGCTTTTATATTTTAATAGTTAGGGCTTATAAATTAGGGATGATGAGAGAAACGTGTTTATCGTCTTATTTTCCTCCTTTGAATCTTTCCTTCCCAGTACATGGAGAAAGAAGATGCTGTGAATATCTTGCAGTTCTGGTTGGCAGCAGATAATTTCCAGTCTCAGCTTGCTGCCAAAAAGGGCCAGTATGATGGACAGGAGGCACAGAACGATGCCATGATTTTATATGACAAGTGAGTTTTATTTACTGAGTATTTGATATGTACTTCAGAAATGAAGATGAATAAACTCAGTCTTTCCTATCAGGGAACTCATAGGGAACAGCATAACAGCTGCTTTTCATGTGGTGTGTGTCAAGTTTTGGGGTTCTTAGAACCAAACTTTCTGCTGGAGAAAGGGGGAAGTTTGTGTGCGGTAGGCAGGACCATGATGTAGGGAGGGTTTCACAGAAGAAAGATTTAAATTGGGTTCTGAAGAATGAATTGAAGTTTGCTAGCCAGAGAAGGCAGAAAAGAACATTCTGGGCAGAGGCACTGGCACAAGCAAAGTCATAGAAACTAGCAGGAATGTGGCACTTTCCAGAAACTTAAGTTTGGATAACTAAGACATGGGTATGGAGTATTAGAGGAAGATGCAATTAATTGGAATATGTTGTAAAGGGTCCTGAATATCTGTGTATGAGTGTACCATATTTTCTGGTGCAAATCCGCCCAGCCAGTTTAACTATTCAGTGACAGTGAATAATAGTTATTCGTTAATCTTCACTGAAAAGGAGAGAGTGTCTCAATCTTCCAGTGAACAGAATTGAAAACATCAGGCAAGTGGCAAAGCTGTGACTTTAACTTTTCTTATTTTGTAAAGAAGAGGATAGTGCTATCTGTATCCACAGGCAGGTGCTAAGAGGATACCTTGAAGGTAGAGAAAACTCCTCGGATGTTAGGATCGGAAGACAGCTGAGACATCTAGGTCAGTGGTTCCTGAACGTTTCTCTCCAGGCACGTGCTGGGCTGTCTGCATAAGAATCACCTGGGCGCTTTTTAAAGATAGGTGTCTAGTCCTCCTCTCTCAGAAATAACTGTTTCAGCAGGTTTGAGTTGTGACCCAGGAATCTTTATTTTTAGAAGACACTCCAGATGATTCTGATGAATAGCCATATTAGGGATATAGTCTGATTTTCTTATTTGCAGATAAGAAAACTAAGGCCCAGAGAGTTAGTGGTTTTCTCAAAATCACAGGGCAAGTTAGTGGCAGCACTTATACTGGAATGCAGTTCCTGTTTGCCTAGCATTTATTTTAGTATATTTGTGGAAAATATGATATAAGAAACATTGTTATATGGTCATTGAAATAGCAGGTGTTAACATTTAAAAATTTAGTCTAGGGTGCCCAAAAATTCAAATCATAGAGGAATACTTATGAACTTAATTTGTTATAAGATGGAAAACTCACTTTTCTGCATGCTGTACAGAAGAGCAGCACTAGTAAGGTCCAGGCTGGAACCAGGAACCACATAGCATTTTTCCCACTGGACCCATTTTTCTATTGGCAGCCTTTTCTAAATGAAGTTACTGTTGAGTATCCCATTTGACATCATTTTGACAAGTTCATTATGCCATATTGACTTTACCAGTCCCAACTTGTTTGTTTTTATAGCTTTATGTATGCATCATCATAATCATGCCTCATCAGGCTTTATGTATTTGTATTATAGACAGGAGTTCGAAGTCACTGGAATGCATGGAAAGGAACAAATATATGCTTTTCTCCTTTAATGCTTTTATTTAGTATCTACTTTATAATCAGTTTACCAAAACACTAGTTGCATTCTATCCTGGTAAGTTAAACATCTTTGATGTTATTGCCTTGGCCGGCTGGTTCAGTTGGTAGGAGTGTCGTCCCATACATCAAAAGGTTGCAGGTTAGCCCTGGCTGGTTTTGCTCAGCGGTTAGAGCATTGGCCTGCGGTCCAGAAAGACCTGGGTTTGGTTCCCACTAAGGGCATGTACCTTGGTTGCAGTTTGTCCCTGGCCCTGGTTGGGTCAGGTGGCAGCCACTCAGTGTGTCCCTTTCACGTCAATGTTTCTCTCTCTCTCTCCCTCCTGCCCTGTCTGAACAAAAAATGGAAAAATGTCCTCTGGTGAGGATTAAAAAAAAAAAAAAAAATTCAAAAGGTTGCAGGTTTATTCCCAGTCAGTGCACATACGTAGGTTGTGGGTTTGAAATCGGGTCAGGGTGTGTGCAAGAGGTAACCTATTGATGTTTCTTCTCTCTCTCTCTCTCTCTTTTTTTTTTAATCCTCACCTGAGGACATTTTTTCATTTTTGTTCAGATAGAGTGGGAGGGAGAGAGAGAGAGAGAGAGAAACATTGACATGAAAGGGACACATCGAGTGACCTCCTCCAGCACAACCTGAACCGGGGCTGGGGACAAACTGCAACTGAGGTATGTGCCCTTAACGGGAACCGAACTTGGGTCTCTCTGAACCGTGGGCCGACACTCCAAGTGCTGAGCCAAATCGGCCAGGGCTCTTCTCTTTCTTTCTCTCCCCCATCCTTCCCCCCCCCCCATCTCTTTCTCCCTCTCTGAAAATCAATAAATACATATCCTTGGGTTAGGACTAAGAAAAAAAATCTTTGAGTGATCTTTGGTTACTCCTTTACCTTTATATACCAAATCATCAGCAAGTCCTGTTATTCTACCCAAATACATCAAATCCATCCACTTCACCCTCAGTGCTATTATCTTTTGAATGTCTACATGTAAATTATGTAATGCTTCATAGTTGTGATGGTGCGTTTTCACTGAACCCTGTGCAGGGATTTTTTTCTGCTCTGTTTCTAGGGGAAATGACAGTGTCTTATCCTCTTAAATCCATTTTTTTCTACTAAGTGCTGAACAGAAAATAGGTTTCCATTAAATATGTGTGATTGATTGATTTTTTTGCCTCGGTTGTAGCTTGGCCCTCGAAAATCTTAAACAGAACTAAGTACGATGGAAGGCAAATAGGCAGTAGCAGGTAGACTCTGATATCTTTGTAGGACTAGGGATAAATTTGCAGCAAGACCATTACTGTGCAGCTCTATAGTACTAGGTCTGGAGGCCGAATCAAGTGCCCTCTTAGAAGATTCTCTGGCATGTGTGTCAGGGGTTGCTTATATTTGCTGTGGAATTTGGTTTTACTTTGACTGTCTTTCTATCATAGGTACTTCTCCCTGCAGGCCACACATCCTCTTGGATTTGATGATGTTGTAAGATTAGAAATTGAATCTAATATCTGCAGGGAAGGTGGTCCACTCCCCAATTGTTTTACAACTCCATTACGTCAGGCCTGGACAACCATGGAGAAGGTAACCAAGAACTTCAAAGTATTAAACTATCAGAAGTTTCTACTGTTGGAACCCAGAAAATAGAGCATGAGAAAAACCAAATGTAACAGGACAGTAGAAAGTTTAAGTAATGAAGCATAATTATTAAGAACAGAGTCTTTGATTCTGACTTGGTATATATTAATCTTAACCTTTATAGGCTAAGTAGCTTCAGGCAGTTACTGAAATTCTTTAATGACATTTTTTTCCTCATCTGTAAAATGAGTGTAAGACATCATAAAGTTATTTTGAGGATAAAAATGAGGTAAGATATCTATAAATAAAGTGCTTATTAATTAGATAGCAGTATTAGGCAAAGTTAGCTTAGGGATGATCCAAATGTTTCTCCGGTCTCCCTCAACAGTGTTGGAGCACTAGTTTTGTGTAGTATTATGATCACTTATTAGGGTATCACTAGTACTTTATTAACAATAAAGTATTAGAATTTGTGAATGATTTATTCTTCTAATGAACTACAACAGCTTTTACCACAAATTGCACAGAGCGCAGGAGAAGCTCGTAAAGTTATGTTGCTTATATATGTCATGTGTATCTAGGTGGAAGGCGTTAGGTAAGCACTGTTGTATAATACCCACATAAAAACTGAATTCCAGGAATAGGGAAGACTTACATATAAAAATCAAATCATATAAACTGAACAGAGAATCAGCTGTTGCCCCAGAATAATAATTATTTCATGTTTAAATTAAAATCTTTCTGATGGTAAAGGGAACATTTCAGGTCTGTATTATATAAAGAATGTAAACTTTCTGAGTAATAAAGAAAATTAAAATACAGAGAAAAACAAAATCTAAAACAAATTTCTTACCAAATATGTGTATGTAAAGAATTTATACTAAATTTAAGAATCAAGTAGATAAATGGAAAAAAAGTCAAAGATGATTTATTCCCCAGTGCTTTAAGTCTGTCCTAGCTGTAAGCATTAGAGTGGAAAACAAGAAAAACACGGTTTCTGCCCTCCCAGAGCTCTGTCTTCAAAGAAGGCACATATTAAATACAGACATAAATATTTACAGTTGTGCTAGGAAGGAAAGTTGGTAATAGCAAATGCCAATAATAAACATGGGAATTTATTCAGCATCATTCATAATTTCTAAATGTGAATACAAACATCTATGTATTATTAGGCATTTATTTAACAATGACTTGAAAAGCACAACCTGGTGTTTGAACGCCTGTGTCAAAACAGATATCTTTCTTTTTAAAGACGGCTGCAGTCTAGGGAAGTTCCGTCTGCTTGCTCCCAGCACTGGAACAGACTTGTGGCTAAACTGCAGAACATTCAACTTGAAAAACCAGCTGAAAAATAGCTGATCTGAGATAATGAGTGCAGGGAGCATGGAGAAGGGGACTGGAGAAGACATGGAGTGGGTGAGCCAACTTGTGCAGCTGTGCAGCACAGCTCTGCCCCCTGGGATTGTGGGGTCTCAGCCCCACACAGGGATCCCCAAACCAGAACAACAAAGAAGGGAGGGGGAGCACACAGCATTGGACAGTGGAAATCAGTGGTGATTCGGTCCACCAGGGGGCTCAGACTGCACTCTCCCTGGCAGAAAGTGAGTGCTCATTTACAACACCAGCCTGGGAAGCTTGCAGTGATCAGTGTCTGCAGGAGGGGCCACACACTAGAACTCTAGACCTGAACAGATCACCCAGAAATGAACCTGAGGGGACGATTATTCTCTGAAGAACTTTCGGAAGAGAGCAGGATGAGGGCCAGTCAGAGTGCCCTGGAAAAGAGCCACAATCCTCCCCACCTGGAGCAAAGAGGAGGTGCCTCTTCCCCTAGCTGTAGATCAGCTCTGGGCTGGAAATTTGCACCCGTTCACCTGGACCTGGTAACAGGAGGACTCATATCTGGCCTGGTGGAAGCCTGGGCAGAAGCCCCACCCAGTAAGAGCTACAGTGCTGAAAGATCAGAGAGCTGAGCAGGAATAGGGGGGTTTTTGGATTTTTTAAAAATCCCTTCCTGCTTGGGTTGGCAATAAGAGGGTGCCAGTGACCCAGACAGAGCTGATGTATTGGAAGTAGAGGAAGTGCCCACCAGCCCCTCCTACAAGCTGTGAGCACCATCCCCAACGTGGATCAGTTTAACCCATCTTGACTGGGACCGGATACCCAACAGAACCTAGCTCAGTTAGAGAAGGGGAAGTAGCTCAGAACAAGGACATTCAAGGGGCAACTCCCAAAGCACACACAACCTCTATGCTAGGGAGGCCCCACCCACCGGACTGCTTGGGGATCTGTCCTGCAGCACTTCGGTCAGGTTGCCCAAGGCCAGGCAGGGACAGTGTTGGCCTGCACCAGAGAACTGCCCAGGAGGCCTGGGAACCACACACCAAGGGGTCAGATCCAACAATATCTGGGCAAAATCCAGCGAGCTCCATAAATAGCAGATCTAATCATTTTTTTATGTTTGTTTGTTTGTTTGTTTTGGTTTTTCTTTCTCTTCTGTATTTTTTTCCACATTCTCTTATTGCTATATTTCATTTTAGTTTTTTTTCTCATTCTCTTCTTTATTTCTATTTTTAAATTAATTTTTTTATTTTCCTATTCTATATTTTATTCAGCATGATTACTTTAAAAGTATTATTTTATTTATTTTCTTCTACCTTTTATTTTTTATACTTATTCTATTTCTAGTCTTTACTTTCTTTGCTTTTATATTTTCTTCTTTTTGTTTTTGGCTCCTCTTAATTCTTTTGATCTCATGCCTTCCAGTAAGTAGTCTTTGTGTTTTGTTTGTTTCTTTGTTTGTTTGTATGTCTTTTAGTCTTTTTGTTGTTTTTATTATTCTGGTTGGGTTTTTCTTGTTTGTTTGTTTTTTAATATTTGTGATTTGATTTGTTTTTGTCTTGTTTTCTTGTGTCAACACCTGTGTAACAGTTGCCACAACATGGTCGTGGTCAGGGTTGGGACTCACAGTCAACAAGTCTGAGGGCTGAGCACACACCCAAAGGTGGGACAACAGTAATCAAGACCCAAATTCAACAGGAGAGCCAACATAACCCACACAAAGGTCATTCCTAGAGCATCCAGCACAGAAGATTAAGGAGACTACACCGCTGAGTCCCACAAGATGGCCACACCACCAGAAGCATAGCAGTCTTATCTGATACACAGAAACAAACACACAAAAACCAGCAAAAATAGAGAAACAAAGAAACACCCCAAATGAAAGAGCAGGAGGAATCTCCAGAAAAAAAGAGCTAAATGAAATAGAGGCAAGCAATTTATCAGATACAGAGTTCAAAGTAATAGTTATAAGAATGCTCAAGCAACTTAGTGAGAACTATAAGGAACTCAATGAAACTACATCAGCATGAAAACAGATATAGAAACCATGAATAAGAACCAATGGAAAATGAAGACAGACAGCTGATATAAGGAATACCCTGGGAGGAATCAACACTAGATTAGAAGAAACTGAAGACGAATCAGCAAGTTAGGAGACAAGGTAGCACCCTGGCTGGTTTGGCTTAGCAGTTAGAGCATTTGTCTGTGAACCAAAGAGTTGCAGGTTTGATTTCAGTCAAGGGCACCTACCTCAGTTGCAGTTCATTCCTGGTCAGGGTCATGCAGGAGGTAACCAATCAATGTGTCTCTCTCACATTGATGTTTCTCTCCCTCCACCCCACACTCTATCTGAAGATAAATGAAAAAATATCTTTGGGTAAGGATTAAAAAAAAAAAAGACAAGGTAGAAAAAAAATCACTCAATTAGAGTGGCAAAAAGAAAACAATACTTAAAAAGCCTGAGGGCAGTGTAAGGAAACTGGGACAACATGAAACAGAGCAACATCTACCTCATAGGGTCTAACCAGAGGTAAAAGAAAGCAAGCAAGGGATAGAGAACCTGTTTGAAGAAATATTGGCAGAAAACTTCCCTGGCCTCATGAAGGAAAAAGTCATACAAGTTCAGGAAGCACAGAGAGTCCCAATCAAAATGAACACAGAGGGAACCACAACAAGACACATCATAGTTAAAATGACAAACGTTAAAGACAAAGATAGAATTTTATGGGCAGAAAGAGAGAGAGTCAGTTATCTACAAGGGACCTCCCATAAGGCTATCAACTAATTTCTCAACAGAAACACTACAGGCCAGAAGAGAATGACATGAAGTATTCAAAGTAATGAAAAGCAAGTATCTGAAACCAAGACTACTCTATCTAGCAAGGCTATCATTCAAAATTGAAGGTGAAGCCCTGGCCAGTTTTGCTCAGCGGTTAGAGCATCAGCCCTTGGACCAAAGAGTTGTGGATTCATTTTTGATCAAGGGCATATACCTTGGTTGCAGGTTTGATCCCCGGCCCCAGTTGGGGTGGTGCAAGAGGCAGCCAATCGATGTGTCTCTCTCACATTGATGTTTCTCTCTCTTTCTCTCTCTGTCTCTCTCCCTCCCTCCTTCCCTTCCATTCTAACTAAAAAAAAAAAATCAGTGGAGCCCAGCCATTGTGGCTAGTGATTGAGCGTCAACCCATGCACCAAGAGTCTGCCGGTTCAATTCCTGGCCAGGGCACATGCCTAGGTTGTGGGCCTGATCCCCAGTGGGGGGCATGCAAGAGATGGCCAATCGATGTTCTCGCTCATCGATGTTTCTGTCTCTCTTCTCCCTTCTTCTCTCTCTAAAATCAATAAGGAAAAAAAATGTTTTAATCAATGGAAAAATATCCTCAGGTGAGGATAAAAAATAAATAAATAAAAGGTGAAATAAAGAGCTTTTCCAGCCCTGGCTGGTTTGGCTCAGCGGTTAGAGCGTCAGCCTGCGGTCCCGAGAGACCCGGGTTCAGTTCCCGCTAAGGGCATGTACCTCAGTTGCAGTGTGTCCCCGGCCCTGGTTGGGTTGTGCGGGTGGCAACTACTCAATATGTCCGTTTCACGTCGTTCTCTCTCTCTTCTTTTCTCTCTCCCTCCCACTCTATTTGAACAAAATATTTAAAAAAAAATGTCCTCGGGTG